TTCTGATGAATCCGAATATGCGTTTTGCCTCTTTGCTTCTTCTGTTTGTGTGGAAACATGTTTACAGCCTTCAGTATTTCAGCACCATCCTCTTGTGTACCTTGACTCATACTTGTATTGCTGTGTTGGTGTGTGTACGTGTCCCTGCAGCACTGCAGTAAAAGTGCCTCTACTTCTTGGATGTGGCTGCTGAGGTCATCAGTCATTATTGCCAACAAGCCATGGCCCCGCATCACTCTCACCATGACAACCACGGTTCTAATACTCATAATGGCAGTGTTCAACATGGTAAGCCTTTATGTGCAGATGCTGCCGTCAGGGAGCGATAACACCAATTAGGCATTCACTAAAAATGAAGTATCACAACCCTGCACAGAATACTCCATTATTTGTTACTGCAGTGTAATTAAAAGGTAGTTGAATGCAACATGTTGCTGCAAATAACCAGTGAAAAATAGATTTTATGTTGTATTATTCAAAGCATTAATATATACAGTAAATATCTCTATGTCTGTATGTCTTGGATATATAATAGGATGTAGTGCCACAATAGTAAATATATCTTGGTCACTGTCACGGACTGTGGATTAATTTAGTATTCAAATGGTATTATAATTATTATTTGCATTCCTTCTTCAGACACTCTGGGTTTCTAATCACACAATTAAGTACAGAAAATGTTTTCCCTCTCAATGTTCTGTTTTGTTAAGCTATTTGATTTTTTTAAAATCAAAAATGAAAATTGTTTCCCTGCATAACTGTGCCACATCTATTTGCCTGTGATAAGGGGTTGCTGTTAGGGATAGAGGTTTATTTCTATAGAGAGAAAAAGGGCAAAAGCTTGAATAAGGGTTGGATAGTAGCTTGAGGCTTGTAGGGACGTTGCACGGTGTCAGGACCCTGGTTTAGACCTTCACACAAATCGATTCCAGAGATTATAATCTTGTTTTTTCGCCTGACATGGGTCAGTCGCTCCGGGCGGATGGACCAAATTAACTTGGCATTGCTCAGCGCGGCAGCCAATGTTCATCTTATCCTGCAGGTTCACTTTAAAGGACATTATTGAATGGTTGTCACTTACTGGCCTCTTAGCTAACGAGATTCTATCTTCCTCCTGCAAGTAAAATGTAGTTTGTTTTTTCACATGCTGATGTGCAAGGCAGGCAGACAGAGGAATTGCATTTGCATTTCAATGGTGTGATCTTTTTTCTGTAGTGGATTTTAATTGAAAATTAATTTTTATCACTAACTTTGTGTTTTTTGTTCTAGTTCTTTTTGGAAGACAGTGTGTTGGCTCAAGTTCCTGTTTACAATTCATCCAATGAAACACTGTTTTACCCAAACGGACAATTGACAGACAAAAACAATTTCTACCTTCCTGTAAGTAAAGATAAATGATATGATAACAATTCAATATAAATAATTTTTTTTATAAAACTTGAACTAATCAACCTGTTGGTTTCTTTTTCGCCTGTGTAGTATTTAATTTACAGCTGCATCCTGGGCCTCATCTCCTGCTCAGTATTCCTGAGGATAAACTATGAGCTGAAGATGATAATTATGCTGACGGCTGTGGTTGTTTACAACATCATTATTCTGCAAACACACGCGGCCCTGCTGGATGAGTATAGCAGATTTCTGTACAGGACTGAGAGTCTGGACAGGTAGGTGCACAGTGACACACACAGATATTGTTCAGCTGAGTGTGAGAGAGGCATAAAGAATGGGTGAAGAGTGATGAGAGAGTTGAAGGTTATTTGCTGTTGATCCTGTGGGATGTAATTTGACTTAAGTGATCAATGTAAAAGTCATAGAGTCGTGTTCCCTATGTTTCTCATTCATGACAGTCGTTTGAGGGTTTTAGAGTCAAAGACAAAATTTGATTCTGTCTTTGCTATTCTATATTTAACTGTGTTTTCTGCAAGGATTACAAAGCAATTCTACAGTACGAGCATTTAAAGCCATGTATAAGGGAATTATTGTCTTTATTGATAGGACAGAAAGCGTGAAAGGGGGACAGAGAATGGGGGAAGACATGCAACAAAGGGCTGGGTGGGATCCAAACCTTCACTGCAGGAGGACTCAAGCCTCCGTATGAGAGGCACCTGGGCAACTTTGAAAAGAAAAATTGTGTCCAAATATATGCAGTGGTTTTAGTGGCTTTAACCCCCAAATTTCACTAAACTCATTAGCAAAGAGCCCTGTACAGAAAATTGTCAGATCAGACTTGGTATCGGGACTGAGGCCAAAAAAGACTTGATCATGATTTTCCTTCACACCTGCATTCAGCAACATCTCGCTAATAGAAAAAATCTAATTTAGATGTGAATCATTTAGTCAGTTTTGGTGTAATCCACACAGAGTGTAGTCTGCATTATTTCAACCTACCCCCAAACATACCTACAAGACACACACTATTTTGTTCACCCGTATAGCATATCAGAAAAAGTATTGCTTATTACAAGTCGTGCCAGCTAATTTAAAAAAGTATTTATTCTTTCTAACCATCTGAGGAAAAAAAAACAAGAAACGATAATGCATAAATATACTTAAAAGTCAACAGTTAATTGATAATCATTAGGAACATTTATTCTGATGGTTTCGTGAGAAAACGCAGTGTGTCCGGATCTCAGAGCCCAACTTCACAGAAACTAAATGATCTTGTCTCATCTGCTCACTGTTATTTGCTCCTCACATACTTCCCCTGTCTGCTCACTTTTACCAACACATAGAATCTGTTGCAATGACAACAAACTGTGACAACATTTACTAACACCTGATTGCACTGATTAAACCAAAGAAGCAAACCATTCATGATCGGAGCAACACAACTGGTCTGACCTCCTCTCAGCAGCGAGGTCCGATCACATCACATTAACTCTGGTGTGTTCCCTGCAGCTTTGTTGGAAGAGGGGTTTGTTTTCTGTAAGGTCAGTGAAGCTGTAAATGTCACGTCAGAGTCTGTACTGAGTGATGAGGAGGTTTGTGTGGCTGAGACGATTGAGTCAAATGTGTGTAAGTTACAGTCCGTCAGGTCAAATGGTCTCAAGGATCTCTCCACCTTTAGTCTCAAGTGTGTGAGTTACAGCCAAGTCCTGATGATTGACATGTAACATTCTGGCAGTTTGTAGAAATGTCTCTGTGTTCTAAATATGGTGTGATTTAGAATGTGGAGGGTCGTATTATTGAAAATTAAGTGGAAAATAAAATGAGGAACATTCATATTTTGAGAAAAACTTTCAATTATTGGACAAATGTATTAAGACAAGTGCGTGAATTCAACATCTTGTGCAAACTGTAGGAAACAAACCAAGAAAGCCAGAATAACAAACAATCTGTAGCATCAGTCTGAACAGATAAACGACTGAAATACAAATTATGAGGATATTATTATTATTATTATTATTATTATTAACTGAACGACACCTGCAAACTAGATCAGGCAGCCAACTCGAGCTGCGCTGCTCCAATCATGTGACATGCACCACGTGACATACCTCACTCTCCACAATCATCTATAATACAAACTCACCTTATTTGGCGTTCTATTTAAGCAGAGAAAATTTCCCAACACCCCCTTTGCTTGTTCCCACTGCTACCTCAGCATTGCTGCCAGTTGCTTCAGCCCCTCCAGCACCCCAGCATCCACCTGTAGGCTCATCACTCCCATCATATCTATGTAATCATATCTGGGGGCGTGATTAAGTTGGAGCCAAACACGAACCTGTTCTGCTGTTGCAATAAACATTTGAATTTGAATTGTTTAATTGTCTAATAACAGTTCATCATAAGTGAATACTAAAACTACTAAAAGAGAAACCAAAGGTGAACATCTATTTTGATTAGTCAGAAATAATTAAGATTTCATGTTTAGTAGACTGATCCAAACTGATTTTTTTTGTGATTTGAACTGTCCAGTAGAGTATATTCACCAATTGAGTTTTTTATTATTATACTCCTCACATGCCACAGTCGTTTATCTGCACTGTTTCCCCTCTTTAGACCATTCACTTAAATTTATATTCCACACTGCTTTCCTGGAGCCTTCTGTGTTGCCAACTGCTCAGGAAATTAGCTGCTTAATAAGGATGAACTGCATAATTAGGTAATTAAACCCATTTTCTTTGAGGCATTTTAAGGGAGATGTCCTGAACCATGGATGTGTCACAAACACAACGTGGAGACGAGCGAGGCCACATAGTGAGCCAGGCTGTAATTGAAATCTTTGTAGGCAATGTGTTTTTTGATTTCATCATCTGATTTGAAATCAAAACACAATGAAGAGATTTATTGAAGAAACACACTGCACAATGGAAATAAGGAGTTCATCGAAACTAGATGGTGTGAGCCTGGAACAGGTGTCTCACTTTTTGATGTTGGTCATCAGTGTTTCCAATACACTGCATTTTCTCAAACTTTCTTTTTACCTGCTACTGTACAGTCCGAACCATCTAGCACTATAATTGAAGTATTTTTGTACCACCAACTTTTGATTGTCCTTGTCCTTATCTATTTCTATGTAAGTGCACTGAGAGCAATGTTAAAACTGTCAAATTCCTTGAAATCCACACACAGACTTGGCCAATAAAGCCCGTTCTGATACAAAGTTAGTTTACATTAGTTAGTGTCCACAGTTATTCATTTTAGCATCGACTAGAGATAAATGCTCCTAACCTTCTAAATTATAAAATGCACTGAGACCTGTCAGTATAATTCTGAACTCAATGATAAGATCAGTACAACAGATCAGCTGCCTTTAAAAAGAGACCTGAAGTGGCCATTTTTAAATTGACCATTATACTACAGTAAATGAACAAAGTAGACTTAACCTTCTCGTCCTTAGTCTGAGCAGCCAGAAGAGATTAGTGATGACATCATCAACTGACAAATCCTGGAGCGGCGCCACAGATGGCAAATAATCAAACAAGTCCTTGGACATTATGACAGCGCTCGTTATGGTTTCATTGAAAAACAAGGACGTTTTCTGATTCATTCAGTCGCTGGAAGCTGCTTTTGGAAATGTTTTATTTTTTTTTAAACATCTGAAAACAAAAAATCCTGGTGTGTTCAGCTTCAGTAAAGAATGCTCATCTGTTCCAGAGTAAACTGTGTGATTTCCAGCAGAGGAGCACAGCCTGTCTTTCTATAGGTTGAGTTTCATGTTCAAAGCAGCTGAAATAGCCTAAGTGAAATTATTTAATGTAAATTGAAAAAATGGCAAATTTAAAAGCTTTTGTAATTTCTCAATTTAAAATCGGACTCCACTGCTTTTCAAGAAAAAACTTTTCCTCGTAGGTTTAAATGATACAATCTCTGCATTTTAAAAATGTTTAAATAATACATTAGGGTTTGGGCTTTGAGTGTGTGCTGCATGTGCAGTATCTAAATCAGTGTATGAATATAATATGAAGGTTTTAATGGTATCTTCCTTGATGCATGTTCAGTACAACACAAACACAAAAGCTGTAACTTGCTTTGCTATGACTCTGCCCTGGATAGTGATATGATGTTGGAAACACGAGTGTTTGCAGTGAATTCAAAGTGCTGGATCATGAACACTGCCTGTTAATCCCGTCTGAAGAGATGTTTGTTGTGGAGCTGAAGCAGGGATGCTCGGCCGCTGGCGTGTAGCGCGTACACAAGCTCTTGTTTCAGCAAAACAGAAGCGACAGCCAAACAAGTGACAGCTTGGAATCAAACGGTCTGCTCACCAATCATGTGACACTACACAGACCGTTGATTGCAATCTGGATTTTTAATTAAATGATCACATCTCTTACTTTTTCACCCACTCCTTTACTTTATCCTTTTTTTTTTTTTTTGTCACGTTTCACTGTCTTCTTTCTCTTTTTCCGCTCACAAACCGCATTACTTCCTTTTTTCTCTGCCCTTCAAGACCAGGCGTTCTCAAAGACCTGAAGAAGATGGGCTCTATCTCCCTCTTTATCTTCTTCATCACTCTGCTCGTTCTTGCCAGACAGGTAAGTCCACACTATAATAGTTTGAACGACATCGTCGTCTTGTCTCCTGCTGCACATTCTCACATCACACATCACCTTTGCAGACTGATTTCTTCCAAACTGATTTCATTCACCACATTCAGTTTTATTACACTCTGTACCTTCCTCTTGATTCACCTTTTTTTCATGATTACCTCTCAGTTTGTAATGTCTATTTTTCCCCGTGCTATGGTCTGTGCTCTATCTATTCTTTGCTGCTCTCACATCCGTCCTAATGAGGGATTTCATGATCTCATGAGCTGTTTTCTGACACAAACTATGTCCGAACATTTGACTTTTTCTGGAGTTTAGCTTTCACATATAATGAACGCAGCAGGAGCTGCAGCAGGAGAGTTGTAGGCTTTCACAACTACAGGAAAATCTGGAGCGTTCAGGCGTCTGATGTCTTTCCAAATAGATATCTCTTTTGGTGTCTTCTACGTGTATAGCACCTCTTTTCATCCTGAGAAGCTTCAATTCGTTTTTTCCAGTTTTGCGTCCACTGCATGTTTGAAATGTCATTGCGACCATGACTCACAGCACCTGCGCTAAATCCTCTAAATAATCTCCAACTGTATTCTCACTTGAATTTACCCGGAGTTTTCAATCCGGGGGCTGGAGGGAAAAACTTTGATGCAACTGACTGACGTGCATTCTCACATAAACCATCTCCGGTAAATTTCAGGAGATTGTCTGGAGTTCACTGCATGTCTGAAAGTAGCTATGTTTAAATCATGCATGAAAACATTTGAGTTTAACGTTGTGTTTGCTACAGCAGAAACAATGTTACTGTGGATTACACCCAGGTCAGATTCCAGATTGCATTTAATTTAAATGCAGATATGTGTGTGCTTATATATAGATGTGTGCTCCTCTATTTCCACCTTGGTGGGAAAAAAAAGCTCCCATTTATCTCTTCATACACCTCTGCACAGCTGACCAGACACTAAATGTTTTTGGCTGCTGTTTCTCATGAGACCAGTTTGTTTGGCTTCCCTTCAGCCTCTCAGGGCCAGATTTACAACAGCAAGGCGACAGTTACCCAGGTGGACGATGAGATTTACTAGCCAAGAGATGCAGGGAACCAGAGACCGGTCGTTCTGGAGAGCTGAGTTTTGTTTAGTCCTGTTATTTTTAGATTATGCCTCTCTGCAGGGTACTAACTGTAGTCGTGGTCCAGAATTCGGGGAAGTAATGTGCTCTGGAGCTAGAGTGCAATCCTGCATGTATTGACTACATAGATACGCTATATGGACAAAGGTATTGGGACACCTACACATTACACCTACAGAAGCTTTTATGACATCTCATTCTAAATCCATAGGCATTAATATGGAGTTGGTCCCCCCACCTTCCTTTTGCAGCTATAACAGCTTCCTCTCTTGTGGGAAGGCTTTTTACAGGATGTGTGTCTGTGGGAATTTTTGCCCATTCATCCAAATTTGTGAGGTCAGACACTGATGTTGGACGAGAGGGCCTGGCTCACAGTCTCTGTTCTAGTTCATCCCAGAGGGGTTCGATGGGGTTGAGGTCAGGGCTCTTTGTGGGTCAGTCAAGTTCTTCCACACCAAACTCACCCAACCATGCCTGTGTGGACCTTGCTTTGTGCACTGAGGCAGAGTCATGCTGCAACAGAAAAGGACCTGAACCAAACTCTGGGAACAGCATAGAATTGTCCAAAATGTCTTGGTGAGCAGAAGCATTAAGATTTCCCTTCACTGGAACTCAGGGGCTAAGGGACATATAGTCAATAATGCACATGTAGGCCATGCCATACATGCACTGTATGATTTCATTTGTGTGATTTACAATAGACCTTAACACTGCAGGCTGGTGACACATCAGTTTGTGCAGAGTCAAATTACTGTTTTACATCATAGCTTATCATTAAATGGGCTGCAGCTGATCCCCTGGCTGTTTGCTGCAATAACAGCCCGACCGTGTCATGTTTCTTTTTTTCACTGCGGGGACTGAACCGCTTCCACAAAAAGCATCAGCGGACAAGCAGGTGTGGGCTGCAGATAAATAATAATAAATGTACATTCCGCGTGTCGTGACATCACAGGGACTCAGAGCATATGCTCTTTATGCATTATTTAGTGTGATGTAAAAAGGTTGCTTTCCCTCAGCTGTTTACATGCTCGAAATTCCCTTTGGGAGCCTTTGTTTCTGCGAATGCCTGCTGCCTCACAAAACCTGGAAAATGTGATTAAAAGCTTCCTGCAACAAGTCCTGCTGGATGTTGATTATAGAGCCTTAAATCTGGACAGGAATATTAAGCAGATTGAGCTTGAAGGACTGATAAATGTATTTGAAGAAGACAAATTACTTAAAAGATGCCAGGTGCAACCGTCTGTGCGGCAAAAATAATAGATGCCATTTTTCAATTTCTGTTTAGTCTCACACATGCTGCTCTGATGTGTTTACACGCCTTGTCTCTGTCCCACCTCTGAGTGCATGAAGTCATTATATTTCTAATATCAAATCATATCACATTCTCTGATCACTTAACTCAGATGATCTTGTAAACATGCATCTTCATTTTCAAATCAGTCCATGTGCAGCTCAGGAACAAGCTTAAATTGAATTTTATCATGGAGCACCGTGACATATTCACACTAACTGTCACATTGCGAATCAAACCCGTTATAATTTTACATCATAAAGTCTCACCTCGCTTACAATCATTCTTTCTTTTTATTTTGTCCTCCCTTGATGGAAGTTTTTTTTTCCTCACATAAAAAATAAATGCTGCCCATTCCTGCCAATGCTTAATTTTCTTTCCTCTCTCTGTTTTCACATTTCCATACTTGTGGCTGTTTTCTATTTTTCTCTGTGACTTGCTTGAAGCAAGCTGTACAGCTGTGCCTTCAGTCTCTTCACCTCTGTGTCCTCTTGTAACAGAATGAATATTACTGTAGGTTAGACTTTCTGTGGAAGAACAAGTTCAAGAAAGAGTGCGAGGAGATTGAAACCATGGAGAACCTCAACCGGGTTTTACTGGAAAACGTGCTGCCGGCACATGTGGCAGAGCACTTCCTGGCACGCAACTGGAAGAATGAGGTAGTTATGCATTATATTTTCTTTATAGATACAGTAAGATTATGTAGAGTGTAACAGCTGTTGTGGTTTTATAAAGGTCTTTTAGTACCAGTGGCAATATGCCAAGATCCATTAGCTGTGATGAGGCTCTGCAAAAACAGCTTATCTCAAACATAATCTATATTCCGAGTCAATACAATAGATCTGAAACAATGTTTGTACATAATTTATGTCTGTGCTGCAAATCATTTTTAATCCACTTCTAACCAGGTGCAGTCAATACATGCAGTGTGTGTGTGTGTGCATCAGAAAGCTCTTATATTTAAACTGGAATAGCACTCTAGTGTATACCACCACCACCAAGGCCCAACAGCCCGGTTCAATTCATTCAAGCCTCATTAAATTACACAGATTGATAAATATCAGTCCTCTAAATGTGCTTGATTTTGTTTTTATTTTGAATTGTTTCCTGAGGAATCAGTGAAATGTCAAAAAAACACATCCTGGATCTGCTCCTGATTCAGATCTGCACCCAAATTGAATTTGTCTTTCCTGACCCATACCACATCCTTCCACCAAGTTTGATGGTAATCCATCTGTTTTTTTTTTTGTAATTCTGCTACATACCAGACAAAGACAGATGAAAACATAACCTCCTTCAAGAGGTAATATAAGCATTAAACCAGAATTTAAAAAAAACGAGTTGTAAAAGTGTTTTCTGCTGAATAAAAAGTACTATAAATGAATCCATTGGCTTTTTGAGAATATTCATTGCTGGAATTCATTTGTTTTTATAATGGAGCAATCACATGTGATGTATATCAGTGTGATTAATTACCTATAATGATGAAGAAGCACAGGGGAGAAAGTGGGGGGATTTGCTGGCTCAGCTGTGAGACCGTCTCATTCATCATTCTGAGTCTTGTTACATCCCCTGAGTGTTTCTCACAGTGTGAAGTGTGAAAAGTAAAGTTTCACGTCTCAGTTTAAAAGGCCTGGAGGTCAGGTTGGTTTAAAAAGCTTCTGCTGCAGAAATACAGGAAATGGCTGCATCCCGTCGCTCGAACAAGATCTGGTTAATTGCTTGTGTGTCATCTGCCTCTGTGGTCCCACTGACGACTGATGTGTTTACTAAAGTGTGTTTCAAATATGTTCGAACCTAAATACATAGAAAACGTATACAATCCAAATCTAACGTTTGTCCGTCAGAATCGCGTCGTCTGTATTTCATCCACGATGAAAGACCATGCCTTATCAGTTTCAGTTTGATCACATCTTATGACGTTTTGTGACATTTTCGTTTTGCCGCTGTCCAATCTCAACTCTGTATTTAGCCTCATGCGTTCTGTCACACAGGATCTGTACCACCAGTCCTACGACCTGGTGTGTGTCATGTTCGCCTCCATCCCAGACTTTAAAGAGTTCTACACAGAGTCTGACGTCAACAAAGAAGGATTAGAGTGCCTCCGGCTCCTCAATGAAATCATTGCTGATTTTGATGAGGTAAATATCTAAAATTACTGCAACCAACCTTCACAACATCTTACACAGCGGCACACATGCTAGAAACAAACCTGGATGTCTTCTCCAGTGGGTTTCAGTGCTTGTATAATTGTACTTAGTCTATTTGATTGGAGACTGTCATATGCAAGATACATATTTATAAAGTATAAGAATATTTTGAGATAAATTAATACATTAGTATTTACAGATGTTCATGTAGCTTTTGAAAGACCAGCATGAGTTTTCACTTCAGCCATAAATGCTCTCATTTGTTTTAGCTATTGTGTGTGTGTCTGTGTTTGTGTGTGTAGCTGCTGTCGAAACCTAAATTCAGCGGCGTGGAAAAGATCAAGACCATCGGCAGCACTTACATGGCTGCCACTGGGCTCAATGCATCGCCTGGGCCTGAGTACACGTCACAGGTACGCTGTTTGTGTATTTCCTCATCAGCTGTAATTGTTCAGTTCTCACTTTTTGTTTGATTGCCACAAAATACAAACATTTATTAGAAATGAACGTGTCTCTCACTGATTCTCAGGAGCATGACAGGCAGTACATGCACATTGGGACAATGGTAGAGTTTGCATTTGCGTTGGTTGGGAAACTGGACGTTATCAACAGACACTCTTTCAACGACTTCAGACTTAGAGTCGGTGAGTTTCACACAAATGTTTCTTCAATGTTAGAAGTGATGTGACTACTTCACTTTTTACCCACATCATTCTTGTCATTCTGTCAAATATTCTTTTCATTTTCTGAAAGTATACGCACTATGGATTCACAGTCACTGCATCCACAGCTTTAGCCTGTGAAAAAAAATGACTTCCTGGATTACCACAAAAATAGTGGAAGAATGCTGCATAGATCAGGGACGAACCCATTATCAAATCAAATAACTTTTCTTTTTTTTTTTACTTTCTCTAATATTGTGTGTTTTCCCAAATTTGTGTGAATCAGTCATGAATCTACTTTCTATATTTGGTGAATTGATTTATGAGTGCATGAAATTTGGTGCAGATCCAATCAAAATCTGGATCTAGTACATTTAAATGTGATTTTAAAAGGTACGTGTTGCCTGGTTGGAGGTTTGTGCTCTACTGAGGGTCTTTCTAGTTTTACCTGGAGGTTTGTCAATGTAATTGATCACGATGATCATGATGATGGAAAATATTTGCAGTGGGAACATTGTTTTTCTTCTGTCAGATAAATACGATGAAATGTCAGAGCTGCAGCGAGGGATCATGATTTTGTTCTGTTGAAAATCGTGTGAGTTCACTGTATAGAGTGAATCTAGATTATAGTAAGTGCAGTCTTTGTAAGCATCCAATAGGTTTTCTTTTTCTTTTTGTAGAACAGCAATATGGTGTGGGAGTAATTTCCTTGACAGACAGAGTGAGAGGTGTCTAAATAACAGGAAAATAAAACTCAAATAAAATGTCAGCAAGACGCAGCTATAGTCATGGCAACATAACGGCAGAGAGAGCGACTGACTGAAGAGTGGAGGTAGAGGTGAAGTGGGGAACAGGTCCCAGCTCGCTGTGTGCAACAAGAGTCGTTACCGTCAAACCTGTCTGCGGAGATCACAGCAAGGGACGGTCCATTAACTCAGCAGTGAGCGTGTGAGACTGTACATCCCCGCTGATTCCAGACGAACCTAAAACACTCCATCAGATAGGACTACGAGTCCTCACCCACTGGGACGGGACAAAAACCACAGACCGTGTGCCTATGTGTCTGTTTCTGTGTGTTGCCTGTGCATTTATACAGACTGCAATTTCCACATTTCTGGAAATTGACTTAGAAGCCAGAGTGAAGGGGGCTGGTGTCATCTCATTGCTGTGAAAAGCTCCGGTCTCCTGAGCGTGTTGGGGAATAAAGTTCAGCTACATTTAGCTTCCACCTCATCTCATCTTCTGATGAAATCTTGTGAAAAGCTTTGTTTATTCTGAAAGCAGCGAGTCTCTGCCTGACGGCCTTTTGGAGCTGCACTCAATAATTTAACAGATATATCAAAAATGAATTTGAATCCTTCTCTAACAACATTGTTCACGTATGACATCAGAAATAGAAACAGAATCACCAACTCTTTAATGATCTATCATTTAAAAATGTATTGTGTAATAGCAAGGTCATGTTTCATTAGTATGTTAGAAATATTAAATTACTTTACACATAAAATCAAGGTTGACAAAGTGTAGTAACTGAGCCAGTGTCTCAGGGGGCTCGAAGGACGTGGTGTACCTGGCCCACGAAGGCCGACTCCTTTGTGAGCCACGTGGATCCCGAAGGTTGAAACAGAAAGATGGTCTGGTCTCAGAGGCTTTTACATGAGCAGCTTCTCCAGCTCATCCCGCCCTCATTGTTGTTGCATAGATTTAGAAGTTGGACACAACGTGAAAGGTTTAAGATCCCTTGTTTCTTTTTAGCATTGAGCATGAGCTGTTTGGTTGAAAGCATGATTCTTAATTGCCTGTGCCGTTACCTCTCTGAAAAACGGTTTGTCCCCAAAGCGCATTGAATCCTGGGATGTGTTGGGCCGGGAAGGATCCATCCATTATTCAGAACAAGACATTATTTAGATCATGTTTACATGAGTTGCTAATAGAATATTCCATCATATTCCTGTTTAAATGTTCAACATTATGTCTCACCACTTGAACCCAGGGTATGTGACGCCAAGCAGTTTTTAACTTTGTCACAAAATACTGTAAAAAATACAGAATGTAACATGTGATCAAGACGTATACACGTGACTAAGGTTGGATACTCCACATGTCTTAATGTGATTATTGATTATACCGAGGATGTTTTTCAGAGCATTGTCTTCATCAGGTTAATATCAGTTTCCATGTTAACGTGTCTGATATGACGCAGACACATGAAGCTGATTGTTTTGTGTATTTCTCAGGTATTAACCACGGCCCAGTGATCGCTGGAGTCATTGGAGCCCAGAAACCTCAGTATGATATTTGGGGGAACACAGTGAATGTAGCCAGCAGAATGGACAGCACAGGGGTCCTGGGGAAAATACAGGTAATTACCACTGTATCCCATGATCCCACTTTACAGGAATAGCTGTAAATGTGTGTGTGTGCTACTTTAATATGAGTGAAATCCAGTTGCTGCGAATCCTCACACGTTCACAAACAAACCTCAGTTGGAAATTATTCTCAAAATGCTGAAAATTAGTGTCCAGTTGTTTCCAGGAATATTTTACAGCAGATGTGTCAAAGCAGGAAAAGAAGAGGTGAACAAATAAAATGATAATGAAAAAAAGCTCTGTTGCTTGTAAATGATAAATGCTTACATCTTAGGTTCAGTTCATGAAATGTGTCAACTAATGTAGAATCACTCCAACCTTGACTCTTCTCTGTGAACAAGGAACCAGTTTGATTTCCAAACACCACACTGTGTTTAATCTGTTTCTTCCAAAGCAGAACCACGGCTCCGTTTTCAAATGCAGACATTTTAAATATCAGCACAGATGTTCAAACGATAAAACTCTACTTCTTTTGTTAATGGCAGTAAGGACATCAAATCATCTCCGTGTCATGTGATGCCTTCAATTGACAAACTGCTGATAAGAAAGTGTTATCACCTGCCTGTCGTGTGTCTGTGAGAGTCATTCAGGCTGTGGATGGTTGTATTACACTTACTGCCTGCACGCATTTGATAGAGACATCTGCTGAGCAGTGCAGCATCACCGCAGAGCTGTCGCACACACTCCAAGGTTGATGTTTCAAGATAAGCAGAAGCAACAATGAAAAATGAGTCATTTTACCCACAATCCTTTACTTTAAAGCCTACAGGATGTCTTATTGTAGTGTTTTGTATTTATCTGCTCTTTATCTCTTCATGACAAGATTTGAAAATACAGTTTTAGTTCATGTGATTGCAGCTTCACTTCACATGAAGTCTGGTTTGAGAAATCCAGATTGTGTGTGATAAAATACAACAGAGAGTCTGGTGCTGCGGAGCATCATGCCAAGAGTACAAGTTGCTTCGCTAATGCTGCGCAGATTTTTCCTCAGCATGGAATTGCTGTTTTCGCCCGCAGGTCAAGTGAATCCAGTCGTGTAAAATAAGCGAAATGGACGTAACCCGTCTGCTTCTCCCTGCAGGTGACTGAAGAGACGAGTAGAATCCTCCTGACCCTCGGCTACATGTGCTCTTGTAGAGGCATCATCAACGTCAAGGGCAAAGGGGAGCTCAAGACCTACTTTGTGCACACAGAGATGACCCGCTCACTGTCGCAGGGGAATGTAACGGCATGAGATGGTTTCAGAATATGTGGAATTTACACTGACGCAAAGCACAGACGTTCAGGATCTTCTTCTCCATGCTGCTTCGACAGAAACGTGCGTGAGGTGCAGGGGAATCAAATGGAGAAAAAAAAACTGATTTTAACGTTGTTTTGCGAGTTAGCAATGGCACAGCTGTAGTATACATTTGTCACTTATGTAACTGTAAGTGTAGCACGTGCAGCAGGTCGGCATCAACCCCTGGATGTATTGTGTCATTTGAATGTTGGATCCAGGCGAGCACCAGTCGGGAGTCTGAAATGGGCTTTTTCAGCCTGGTGCATCAAAAACAATCCAACTTCTGGTCATTTTACAGGACGCGGTACAAAATGATGTAAAAGCTGAAGAAGAGAAACAAAGTGCACGGCAACAATGTTCACATTAGGGCCTCTCGAAGACGTCCGTGTTCCCCCAAAGTAACCAAAACTTTACCAGGAGATACGTGGAAGATCTCATATCAAAATTACAGCAAAGGAGAAACAATAGAATGGAAAAGTGCACCACCGCCATCAATGAGACACTGTGTACATAACTCCGACAACCTTGTCAGAAGCACGAAGTCTTGGATGTATTTTACAGGTGGTCGAGGACCCAAAAAAAAGAATCTATGAATATATTGTGACTGAAAAGAGAAGTCGTCTTTGTGACAGAGGTCAGAATCATCAGCGGCTTCTGAAAACACAACATCTGCTGTTTGTTGCTGTTCAGACGATGCATCAGATCCGAGGGTTTAAGATGCAGGGTGGAGTTAGGCGACACAGTAACGGGGATGAAGATGATTTCACTGTCTTTCATTTGGGAAACCTGAGCCGGATCCGTGTACAGGGTAGCTCTAGAGTGTGCGGTGGTTTTTGTAAGAAAAGGAAATATTACAAAAAAAGTGTTTTGGTGTTTTGATGATGCCGTTTTTTTTTTTTGTAAAAACCTCATTAAAGTTTCTATGTATTTCAGTTCTATGGAGTGCTATTATTTCACAGCATATTCACATGACAGGACTCTGCCACTGATTTAGAATGATGGAAATGTCCCCACATGTTGGGTTAATAGTAAACCTGTGAGGCTGCGATCCAAAACATCTCAACAGGTTCTTACCTCTTCACTGGTCCACACTCAACACTGAGCAGGACGAGGTACAGAGACTCAACAAGGACAAACATGAATCATTTGGTGAAGCAGTTATTGTGTCTGCTCCACTGCTGCGGTTTCCATTTTAACAGACTTATTGTTCAATTCAATCGTTAACCACCATTATAAATGTTCACACAATAAGTGAAGAGCTCCTAGGAGTTGGTGATGCTTCTGTTACCTCCCTGACGATTACTATAGGGAGGTGGGGGGGTGGACTCAGACAGCCTGTTTCTGTCATCTTCTCCCTCATCTAAAAATATATTATACAAGTTACACAAATCACAACTCTGCTGCCAAACTGAAACTAAAGACACAAACGTTAGGAATGTTCCTGCTCTTATTTATCACTTTATTGACAGTTGTTTTTATATATTTTTTTGTTTTGTCAAGAGCTAGGTCTATGTAAGCTAATCTTACTGAGCTATTTTATGATTCTGAATGTGTGAACTTTGAAAAATAAAAGGGAGAAAATTTAAAGACTGATATTCAGTGATAAAAAACTAATAAAAGTACAAAACATTCAGTACTAGGAATTAAAAGGCTTGAAAATGTCCGAATCTGATGAGACTAATCTTCCAGTGAGAGCAGGAATTATTTCACATTCATTTTCTCTTGTGCTTGGATTTGCGCCGCTTGTGCTCACACGGCTGCTCTCGGATTTCTTCTCTTCTTGAATTCTGAGAGCAGACGCTTCATGCAGAGGAAGGTGTTATTCAGTCACTTTATAACCACACAAAAAGCTGGGGTCATATTAACACTCCCCCTGCTACACTGTCCCATTCAATTAACCTCTGAACGCCACTCATTTCACAACTGGTGAAAGAAAATAACTAATGGCGAACGAATGGGTCAGTGTATTCACTTGATGTCACAGAGCAGTGCCACGCCCCGGAGGGTCCAGTGGTCAGGAGATACAGGAGTCTTCAGCTCCACATCTGCAATGTAGTTCCTGTCAGTTCTGACCGGCTTCTTGTAGATGGGACACGAGTACAGACGGGGGTCCTTCACACCTGCAACACAGGAGAATACAACGTCTTAGATGAGATCAGCAGCTGCCCTTCCCACTTCCCCTCAGGGTTAACTCACTTTATTTACTACTTAATTCAGGTTTTGATTTAAAGGTTGTGTTAAAATGAATTATTCCCACAGGATATCTTCTACCTTAGCTTATTAACAGTGGCGTCACACATTATTCAAACCCCTCACTTGTTGCACACATGGTTGTGTTGTACATCTACTAATTCCAGAAATCTCACTGTCTATCTTGAGAACTGTTCATTTTATCGGCTTCGCGCGTGGCATGTGTTTTTTTAAGGGCCCGGGCAAGTGCAGTGTCCAATTTGGTGCCATTTGTACACGTGATACGTTCAAAATGAATAAACTTTGAATAAACAGGCGATCATCACTTACAGCGATGAGTCCCAGCTGTAAGTTATCTTTAAAACAACACGTCCATGACATCACAACATTTATTCTCCAGTTTGGGCTGTACCCATCATGGTGTGGAGCCGCAGAATCAAGTTCCCACCGATACTAACACTAAACCAATGGCCAGTCAGTCTCGGCTGTCAATCATAATATTTCAGCCTGTTTTTATACCAAACATTTTACAAATTAAAGGCAACTAATGAGAATGAGAAAAACTAGCACTTAAACAAACATCCGTTAACATGGAGGAGGTGGGATCGATGACCTTAACTGCAGACAGCCGCCACAGAGGGTTTGAAATGTTTTGGCTTCACTTTTGGGGAGCTATCATGACATCCATCGTTATATACAGTCTTTGGGATAACACCCGTGATGAAATAGATCAGGACAAATGATTTCTAAATCGTTGAGTGCTCCCTCAGCACCACCTGATTGTTCTCTTCAGATTGCTGGAGGATTTGTTGTTAGCCTGTCAGTCGCAACAGGCTGGAGTGTTTCTAAACATCCCATCAGCACAGACACCAACAATCGGACAGAAGCCCTTGTAAACATCTTCGGAGATGATATACGCAGGGATGAAAATAATCTCTCTGTCAATTACATGGTGGGGTTTTCAAGACTCACTCATAACTACGTTGCACACACTCGGATGCTCTTGCAACCATTGACACATGCACACACACACAGCAGGCATCCCTCCTGGGGGAAACACTGGGGGGGGGCACTGGGAGGGGACACGATGTGAACGGTTTAACACGTATCATTAATTCATTTCCCAGGCAGCTTTGCTTGTAGGTATTTATGGGGCCCCCGTGCCTTCTCTGCCGCCTGCCTGAATTTATCCCAGTGTTATCCAAACACTGTGCCACACACTGCTGGTAATCTATTCCCAGACTAAATAAATAGCTCTCAGTCTGCTTGACATTTAAATGTTACATCCATCCATCCTGAGTGACTGCGTGAGATGCAAACGTAAAGGAGGAGAGAGGAAACAGACAGAGACTCCAAAGATTGGATCTCGCTAAGCTTTAACACACATTGCATTACTTATTCTCAATGCATATTTCCCCAGCTGTGCCAGTGGGTGAGCTGTGACCAACAAGGCTTTAGAGTCTAGTGCCAGTGGATCATTTACATCTTTACAACTGAAACATGGTCGTCTATTGAACTCAAATTTTAAAATCTTAGGTTCTCTAATAATAATTCTCACCGTTATTCACTGCATAAATCCTTATCACAGGCATCATCTCAAAGAGGACTTTGGGTTTGGAGTCGATGAGTTTGCAGCTGCGGCGGTCCCAGCCGGCTCCCTCCAGGTAAAGGCCGTAGACGTACACTCCCTCTGTGGGAGGCTGGGTGATGTCGTCTTTCATCCACTTGGTCACCTCGTTGCACAGCACCATGCGGTCCAGGGCCCAGCCCTTGTTGGCCCGCGTGATCTCCTACAAGAGCAGAGGCAAATTGGTCAGGTTAAGGCAGTGATGTGGGTGCTGAGACGACAGTACATGCGACGGACAACATAAACATTTGGTAACTGTTTCCACCACAGATCAATTTTGATAATAGGACTGTAATACAGGTACAATAAAATAAAACACTAGAGTAGGTAGAGGAGTGCACTCCATCAGGGAGAAGATGCAGTACCAGCAGAGAGAAATAAAATACATCCAATAAAACTCAGAATGAGCTGAGAGCAAGAGCAGAGTGCAAATATATTAAATGTGAGTTTGTGTCCCTTCTGTCATTTTATCTTCATTTGGAAAGAGGAAAAAAACAACACAGAAAAAACCTTTAACTGAACAACTGCTGCGATGTCTGTTTACCAATTGAGTGAGGGGATATGACGGCTTTATTTGGGAACTAATACAGCCGTCCAACAAATCCCAGCTCAGTAAATATATTCTGCACCCACAATATTTTCTCTCTGGGCAACTGGGCTTTTCCTCCTGTGTGGAGTAAATAACAACTGGAGGGAAATCAGATGTGCAAACCTGACAGCAAAGCTCAACAATTTTCTCTTCATGCTTCTACATAAATTGTAATGTAAGTTGAATTGTTGGCCTTCAACACTGCATCCACAAATGTGTTAATTACTTTAGTTCATTCGTACTTATTGTATCTAATATTTGGATACTCATCAAATTCAGATAAAAAAAATTCTATTTCTATTTTCCACCATAACCACCTGGAGACTGCATTGTGCAATTGGTGTTACCGGAATTTTCACATTCTTGTAAAAAGTCACCGTAGTTTACAGTCGATAACAAAGCTGGCTCCGAAAACACTTCCATTGTGAGGTTTAAAAATGCAACTGAGCCATAGTATAAATATGAAATAGTTAATAAAGTGAATAACAGACACCAATAATAGAAAAAGTGTGAAATGGTCCGTGCATGGCCTGCATCAGTGTTCACGCCTATTGGCAATATACTCACAATAAGTTGCACTGAATCATTTGATTTAGACATCGGCAAGGGGACAATCAGATCACGTCCTTCAACAATCATTTGCATATGTAATAATACCCCTGAAACTGCAGATGAATTATCATGCACGGACCTTTATATAAATGTTATGTATTAATGATGTTGAGTAATGTGCCCTACCAACAAGAGCATGACATGAGAAAAGACCCAGATAATTAACATTTAAATTACACCTCACTGTAGAATCCACCCCAACACATTAGAAAACTAAGAAATGGGTGTTAGCTTGCAACTTTGTGTGTTTGCTTCCTTGCGTGTGTGCATGTGTCTGTGTGCTTGTCTCTCCCTCTGAGTGCCATCTGGTCCCCTCAGCGGCAGTGGATAAGTAGCTCGGTATAGCCCGATGCTATGTGTAGTACCTGTTTCATGGCTGTAAGGAAGCCCTGCGGGTTGAAGAAGCCTGTCATCCAGAAGCAACTGGGGCGCCCTTCAAAGATCCATGCACGGAACTGCCGGTTCCGATCAAGCAACTCTGTGAACCAGAACCCCAGGGTGCTGGAGGCCCACGATGCCTAAAAAATCAAAGACAAACATTGAGGTCAACAAAACATCACAATCAAATGTTGAAAACAGTCATCCAGAGGATCAGAGGAGAAGACGACAGGGAGACATACAAAAAAGCATTATGAATCCCCGGTGTGGGTTCACCCTGGACACGTCAGATTAAAATACAACAAAACATTATAATAGAGTTGAGGCAAATGGTCTAAACTACTGCGAGTAGAAAGTCTTTGTATTCCAGCCTGAGCCATTTTAGTATAGATTATTCTTATGATTAAATATTTGTGGGAGCACGACTTGAACTCCAACAGATTCTTTTACATTGTAAATATATTACTTTGTTGTTTTCTCCTCTACACAATCT